CACTGATAGGTGTGGCCCCTGAGACCGCAGCAATCTCAGCCTGATATAAGCTCGGGCTGATAACCTCTGTGATCCTAGAGTCCCCACTTCTCCAGTTAGCTCTGACAGGAGCATACGGAATCATGAATTCATCTCGCGGAACTTGGGCCTCTACCTCATGGGCGTCATAGGCTTGCTTCAACGCTGGTCGGGCATTCAAAATGATACCCTGCGCCTCTTTGTCGGCAGGGACAAGGGCAATGCCAGACTTAACAATCTGTACTGCTTGAACAGCGTTCGACTTATTCCCTAGGGCCTGTTTGGCTATAGGTAGCAGCTGTGAAGCCGGCTTGACTCGGTTGGCCGAGTCAGTCGGAAGACGGACCATAACCCGGAGGTCAGTGGGCCGTTCTTTGACAGGCTTTGCTGCAGGTCGAACAGCAGTCCGTTGCGGAGCAGCTTGAGGGTCTGGTAGAGAGGCCGCGGCGGCAACCCGGGCTGCCCAGGTTGTGCCCTGTTTAGAGGCTGAGGCCCCCTTGGAGCTTAGCGTAGCAGCCCTAGCCGCAGCTAAGGCCGCCGGAGCAGGCTTGAGGTTTGGGCCAGCGACGGAACTCGTGGTGTTGAAACCCGAGTTCATAAAGCGTTCAATTTCAGAACGGATCTTGTCAAGAAGTGTGACAAGCGGAGCGTTAGAGGACACATCTACATCCGTACGCAGCCTGTCAAAGGCCGAAGCGATTTTGGTCGCTCCAGCCAATGTAGACTGCATCTGAGTGAGGCGTGCCTCGCCCGCAGTGCTTACCACTTCTTCGAGCCGATCCGGTCTGCGAGATGACGGGTGGTTAGCAGTTGGGGCTGATGCAGATGCACCGGCCTTATCTGGTACCCCCTGCACCCTTACGGGTGGTGTGGCAGACTTAGAGATGGCGACTTCCACCATGACCTGCTTTCTAGGCATCGCCCCCTGAGGAGCGATGCGTTCGGCAGCAGGCTTAGCAGCTGCCGCCGTCGTAGCCTGGTCCGCAGCCTCATTGACACGTGCAGCTTTGCGCTGAGCACTGGCAGCACGTTTCTTGGCTTTCTGGCGTTCCTTCTTAGCGGCCTTGCGGGCCTGAAGGCGCTCATGATCCTCTACATCCTTCGCCCAATCCAATACCTTAAAGGGGTTGGAATGTTTGGAGGTTGCAGGGGTAGAAGCAGCGGGAGCTGCTGTAGTGCGTTCAACATCCGATACCTCAGGGGCATCGGGCAGAGACTCGTCGTCCAGGGACGACACAGATGGCATATACTCATCTGAACTATGTGAAGTAATATTATTGCCATTACTGGCATCATCAGTTGTACCGCGGGAAATTCCCTCCTTAGAGGCCTGATCCACTTGAGTGCGGGTGAAAGTTGACTTGGTAGAAGTATTTGAACCCTCAACAGGGCGATATTCGCATGTAGATTGTTTGCTTCGAGTTGTGACCATGATTGAGTTGTGTATTTAATTTCTGAAGTACGGCTTCATTAGGCTGGATACCGAAAAACCAGACAAAGGGGTGATTAAGGGCACCCCCAGGACCTATACCGGCGAAAAGCCGACGTGACTCAGATTTGCTACTCAAGGCATCCAGGGACTGCTACTTCCGAAGCCCGGTCAAGGCACGAAGCTCTTAGGACTCAGGTGATTTCGGACTGCTATGTAGGCAGTCATCAACAAGGATGTTGCATATACTCAGAAATAAGGAATCGACGTGGGGGTTGTTGAACGTATACCAGCGGAAGCTGAGACGTCAACGGATCCTCACACGCAATCTCTTAGGCGTACCCCTTAGGGGCATGGCCCTCTGAATATATGTTGAGCACGGCGGCTTGCGCCCCTTACGGGGTTTCACTATACCACCGG